ATCCCAAATGCTTTCTTTGCAGGAATTGACCAGCTTATCTCAAAATTCATATGGAAATTAAAAGTACCCAGCATAAACAATCTCAGAAGGTGAAGTTGAAAGACTCAATCTTCTCTGATTTTAAACTTACAGCAAGATGATAGTTTTGGAAGATACGAAAGAGGCAAAAGGCAGAAAAATATATCGATAAAATAGACACGGAGGTCCAGAAGTAAACTCTCACAGTATTGACTTTTAACAAAGGTAACAAGATAATAGGGAAAGAAAAGTCTTCAACAAATTATGCCTAGATAAGTACATATATACATGCAAAAGGATGAAATTGGACCCCTACCTTATACTAAACATGAAACTAAACTAAAAATGAACTGAAGATATGTCAGTATAAAATTCTTAGTAAAAAACATGCATAAATCTGTTACCTTCAATTGGCAATGGTTTATTAGACATGACACTAAAAGCAGAAGCAACAAAAGTAAAAAATAAAATTATTCATCAAAATGAAAAGCTTTTGGACTTTGAAGCACACGAGGTATAGGTGGTGGTTACAAAAAGTAAAGGTGTGGAGCAGGCGTTGAAATGACACACACAGCAAGGATGTGGAGAAGACATCACCCTCACACACCGCTGGTCAGAATGTAAAATGGTACAACTGCTTCAGGAAGAGACTGAAAGTTTCTAAAAAAGTTAAACAGAGTTTCTCCCACAGAATGGGAGAAATATTTGAAAAGCATATAGCTGATAAGGGACTTATAACCAGAATATATAAAGAATGAACATTTACAACTCTACAATAAAAGACAAAGCCCATAATTTTTAAATGGGCAAAAGATTAGAATAGATATTTTCCCAAAGAGGATATACAAATGATCACATGAAAAGATGTTCACCATCATAAGTCTTTAGGGAAATGTAAATCAAAACCACAATGAGGCATCATTTCATACCCATTAGAATAGCTGTAAGAAGTAAAGGTGGGGTGTGTGTGCAGAAGTGACAAGGCAAAGATGTGGAGAAAAAAGAACCCTCACACACTGCTAATGGGACTGTAAAATGGTATAGCTGCTTCAGAAACAGTATGGCAGTTCCAGAAAAAGCTAAACATAGTTACTATATGATCCAACAATTCCACTCCTAGGTATATACCCAACAGAAATGAAAACATACATATTTAACATAATATATTTAACATAAATATATATAATATAGTCAAAAACTTTATTCAAAAACTTGTATGCAAATGTTCATAGCAAGATTCTTCATAATAACAAAAAGGTGTGAACAATTCAAATGTCCATCAACTGATGAATGGATAAACAGAATGTGATATAGCCACACAATAAAATATTATTTCATCATAAAAAAAGATGAAGGACTGACACATGCTGCAACATGAATCAACATCATGCTTTAATTATTACACTAAATGAAAGAAGGCTCTATACTGCATGATTCCATTTACATAAAATATTCAGAAGAGTCAAATCCATAGAAGTAGAGAACAGACTAATAGTTGACTGGTTAGACAAGGGAGAAATGGGGAGTGACAACTTATAAGCATGGGCCTCTTTTTTGTGATGATGAAATGTTTCAGAATTAGTGGTGATGGTCGCAAAATAATGAATGTACTAAAAGAACCCCACTGATTTGCAGACTATATCGTGGTGAATATTATGGGTATATAAGCAATGAGTACATTTTTAAAAAGGAGTACTTTCTGCATATACACTATACCTGTGTGAAAAGTTAACACCCCCACCCCACACACACACAAAGAGTGGTTTCAAATTAGGATAAAAAGAAAAATATGACCCACTGAAGTAGGAAATTTTCCATGCATCTTTTCAAAGATCAACTCCATTAAGCATAATTTAAATACATCCCAGTTATTAGCTTGGATAAAATTTGGGATTTTTCCAACAACAGATGTGCATTCAGCATGTTTATTGAGCATATCCTGTGTCTGGGCACTCTTCAACAAATAAAGGGGGTGGAGGAAGGATGTCCATGGGTTCTTGATGAATTCTCCCAATGCCTCTTACTATATAGGAAATCTTTCTGTGCTGTGCATTGATGCGACCTGTGGTTAACATAGTCTTGGCAAGTTTGAGAATATGGTGTTCTTGAGTATAAGTTAAGAAATCTCTAAATGATGCCTTTTTGCAATTCTTCCTCCTTTCTATTTTTAAAGCTATGTGGGCCATTTTCCTGTGATGTCTTACTTTCCAGTTGTTTAACTTGTCTCTCGGCAGGAAGGAATTGTTTTTTTTTTTTAATAAGAAGAAATGTTAGAAAAGCCTGCTTTGTGTTTCTTTTATTATAGTAGTCTCCCCTAATTCATGGGGGATACATTCCAGGACTTCCCTGGATGCCTAAAACCCCAGATAGTACCAAACCCTATATATAATGTTTTTCCTGTACTTAAGACACCTACAAAAAAGTTTAATTTGTAAATCAGGCACAGTAAGAGGTTAACAATAGCTAATAACAAAAGAGAATAATTATAACAATATCTGTAATAAAAGTTATGTGAACATGGTCTCATTCTCAAAATATCTTATTGTTTATAGTATTTTTGGACTGTACCTAACCTAGGGTAATTGAAACTGCAAGAAACAAAAACTCAAATAGGTGGGGGTTACTGTATTGCATTGAGTCCATGCTAAAATCGTAAGTATTCTGGATATCAACTTAGAAACCTTCTCAATCACAGGTCATTTGTACTTAAGCATTTAAATTATATTAGGCTAGCATAAACTAATGGGAGAAAAAGGCCCCTGTGGGGATAAAGCTGAATTATGGTCTTAGAAGTTCTAAACCATATTTTGGTAACTATCATTTTCTAAGCATCAAAAATGTGTCGAAGGCAAAGGACCTTAAAATATGGGCTGTCAGTAGTGTGGTAAATTTTGACTATCACCTCATTTCAGATCTCTGTGCAGTTTTACCAAATAACAATTATGGGATGTCATTTTGAAATCAATTTATTTGAAACCTTTTCTATTAAATAATGAAATGAAGAGGAATAACATCATCTTACATGTCACCAAAACTTCACAGTCAGCAGAAAACAGAAACAAGAAGCTATTCTATAATATTTGAGAATTCAATTTCTTCCTTGACATCATTTCTTAGTTGGGGCACTCATGCAAGCAGGCAGTCTGTCACTTATAGCCCTTGTCATTTCCTATTCCAATTCATTAAACTCTAGGCTTTCCCTAGAAACACACAACCCACAAGAAGATTCTTCTGCCGGTCAGAAAAATATCAATTCCAAGGATGCAGAAATTGATATGCAACTCCGAGTGGGCATGAAGGCCATAATAAATTGCCACCTACATGTGGAATTATATTTTGTAGATCGACAGTGTGTGGGCAGAAGCAGAAAGAGCTTAGGTTTAGACCTTTTAGTTGGGCTTATTTCCTATTGACTGGCTTCTCTTTGGCTGCCAAAGAATGGATCAAGTTCAGAAGCTAAAGCCAAATTGGCAATCCTTTACCTATCTCTCTAAAAAACACCCTAAGTTAGGCAATATCACTACTTTACACAGAGAGGCTTGATTCAAAACTTCAGTTCTTTAAATTTTGCCTCTTTTCAGTGATACTTAAAATTCTAGGACTCCAAAATCACATTCATAAACACATATTTAAATACCACTAACATATGTATGTATGTATGTATGTATGTATAAATGACATAGTTACTTGATGTCCCAATGGAGAACTGAATAAAATAAAATCCTAATGCAGAAATAAGAGGGCTTGAAATAATGCAGCTGGCTGAGAAAGCAATATTTGACTTAATCTTAGAGAGAAAGGAAACAAAGATGAAAGGAGATTCTATTCACTCTCTTAACCATGAGTGAGGCATTTGGGATTGCAAAGTTTTAGCTTTCAGAAGCATGTTGTTGCCAGGAGAGGAAAGAAAGGATCTTACACCTCCTTTTCTTTCCTAGTTCTAAAGTGGTAGGCAAAATGTCTGCTTTTATTGGTTTGAAGTGGTCTACCTATTGCCAAGAAACAAGCAAAGGAAATTATATGCACTTGCTCTCCTCCTAAAATGCCACCTCCTCTGTGAAGCTGTCTTGATTCCCTATTCAGAATGCAAAGCTTCCTTCTCTACACTACATCATATAATTTATACCTCCATTAATATTTGCAAACTATTTTCTATGTGAGTAATGTGTTTACCGGCCTCCCTCTCTTACTAAACTATAAACTTCCACAGCTGAGGAAGGAAGTTATTATCTCTCTAGTCCTCACAATGCTAAGCAGAGTGCTTTATTAATGGTAGGAGCAAAACAAATACATGATGAATGTATAAATATGGTGATGTCAGCTTCATGATGGCTGGAAGTTACGATGATTTTAAGAGTTTAATAAAAATTGAAAGAAAATAGGATAAAGAAATCACCCTTCTTATTTAGCTACTCCATTCACCCAAATCTCTTTTCTCTGTATTTAGCATCATTATTATATACATTGTATACACGCATCTAGAGATGTCCTCCTGGGAATACATTTTATATTCAACATGTTTATTTTGATAACTTTTTTTTTTTAGATTGATTGATTTATTTATACAAGCACTGGGTACAGTCAGAAACGCAGGAGGGTGAGAGAACTCACCAGAGCCAGAGCGGGGAGCAGAGCAGGCAGAAGGACAGAAAGACACTGCTGGGGGAGCAGCGGGCGGCAGGAGAGGTATGAGCGCCATGTGGGACCCTCCTCCGGTGGCCAGGGAGCAGCCAGGGATCAAACCGGCGCTCAAACCGGCGCTGCAGAGGCTGTGGGCAGCTTCGCAACCCAGTGCTCAACCGCTGCGCCACCGGGGAGGCCCTATTTTGATAACTCTTAAGTAAATCATCTTTTGCAGATTTTCAAGGTAAATTGCACTTGGTAGAAAAGTTCAATCAGTCAGACAAAATATATCTGATTCCTGTGAAGCACTGTATTGTCAGATACATAAGAAGAAATTCCAAGATTCTGAAAGTTGAGAACACAACTCCACTAATCAGTTGCCGCCTATCTAAGAAGAAAAAAGAAGAAACCCTAAATTTCCTTTAACTGAGAAGGAAGAATGATCTTAGTTTCCAGAAAAAAACCAAGGGTCTAACTAGAACCTAATTAATGAGGACTGATCACTGTTTCGGGTACACAGTAAAAAATGAAACATTTCTAAAGAGAGAAAGGTCAATTTTAGGCAATGAGAGGCATCTCAAGACTCCTCCCACCCTTTCTATTTTCATGTTTCACATATTATTTTTCTACTGGATACAGACTTGGCGAAAGTTTAACAAATAGTTATTTGGAAACAAAGATAGATTTCTACAATATATATTTTTTCCTTCACAAACTAGATATTTTACTTTGACAAGGACAATTTCTAATCTCTATCACTGAAAGGTACAAAAGGTGGGAAATTGTTTGAATACCAGATAGTCCTTTTGAATTCATTAGGCCATTATCTCCTGGGCATAATTTAATTAAAAGCTGTAGAGTACAAGCTCAAAAGCATTTAGTCAACAAGAAGCAAGTTTTTGGCTTGGGTTTTGTGTTTGACATGAAGTCAGGTTTACAGAAAAGTAAACAAAACTAGACTGGCTAGAGATAAGGGCCTAGAAATGAGGGGTGTGAGACCATGGTTATATTTGTGACTTGGTTTCTTAACAAGCTTGGGGACTTGAGCAAATTACTTAAATTCTCATGTGTAAAGTGAGAGACTATATTCTGATGATTTCTGTCATCCCCTGTAGCACTAACAATTTTTAATTTATTGTTTCTCAAGTTATGGATTAGTTCATTCAATGATTCATGTTGACATCTTCAATGAATATAATAAAGAACCATTTCCCCCTTCAAGGAGTTGATAAATGAGTGAGAAAAGGAAAGGCTTTATTACCTGGAACTCGGAACTCAGTAGCACAAGAGCTCATTCATCCATTCAAGTTCTTACCAAGTCATAAGTACCCATCAGGGAACATGGAGGGAAAGGAGTTGCAGAAACACTACATAAGTTCTTTGAAGGAAGACAGGGTAATTTTTTGTTTCAGCTCACCAATGTTTATTAGTGATAACTGTGTGCCGGGCACTGTGTTGGGCACTGGGCATCCAGGTAAGCGGGGCAGTCCAGTCCTCTATTGAAGCTTACTTATATTCTAGGTGGTGGAGAAAGAAAAACAGATTGTGAACAAATAAACTCCAGATTGTGATAATTATGACGGAAACAGCAATAATGAGAGAGAGAATCACTGTGTGGGGGCAGAGAGGGTGGACTGCCCATTAGCATAGGACAGAGGGGAAAGGCTCTTTGGAGATGGTAGCAGTTGATTGAGCTGAAACATGAAGGTGGATGACAATGGGACAGCCTGCATAGTGGGGACAGTGGTTCAGTTAGAGGAAGTAGGTAGTAACATACTGAGGCAGGAAAGGGCTGCTATTGAGACCATCTGCAGGCTGGTGCTTAAAGAGAGAAGTTACTTCTGGAAAGTATAGGATTAAGGCAGTAGTTCTCAATGAAGGGCCATTTTGCCCCCAGAAGACATTTGGTAATATCTGGAGACATTTTGGGTTGCTGGAATTTGGGGGGGGGGGGGGAGTAAGTTATTACTATTCAGGTTGAGAAAACCTGCACTAAAGGAATATTGCAGTCCAAATTTCTATTTTAGTCGTTATGTATTAAATTCATTTTGCCAAGTTGAAACGTTTTTTTCTTTTATTGCAGAAACAAAATAAAAATCGGTTTCAAGTGATGCACTCCTTTCATCCACTCTTAGGCAATCCCAATGCAGAGGGTCAAGGGACTCGGCAAACCTTGGAATCTCTTCACAGACATGTATCTGAAAGGATCTGAGGAGACCCACACCTAACTCTTCACTGGGGCTGCCGCTAAAGAGGGGCCAGAAATTACCGGCAGTGTAACAGGGTAACATATTCATGCTTTATTTTCACAGTTACAAATGAATGTTAAAAATAATACAAAGTTGGGTCAATGAGTGGGAAGAAGTGGAGGTGCCCTCAAGGACTGAAACCTCTGTGTGTGAACTCTATCTGGCTCCAGCCTCCTCTTCCCCGCGCCATGCGCTCGCCTCAGGGATCCTGTTATAGGGCAGCCCCGATATTGAAGGGGTTGCCTGGCCTGCCTGGGGTGGGGGTGGAGTCCACAAAGCCTGTATGGAATTAGCTTTAGGACATCCTTTTCCCCCTAACAATCCCTCTGCCTGAGAGGCCTTGACTTACATACACTAACCCCAAAGTCTCTCTGGCTCTAACCAGACACCCCAGTGTTGACCCCCAGACGCCGACCCTGCTGGGCCCCCGAGGGGCCTCCCCGCCGGCGCCTCACCTGGGCGGGCTGGCACCTCCTCAGCAAGTCCCGCAGCAGCCTGTCCTCGACGTGAGGGCGGTCCAGGCCTGGCGTCCCGAAGAAGGCCCGTCGGGGCTCTTCTGCAGCCTCTCGCTCCCAGCACCCGGCAGCGCGGGTCCTTCAGGCCCTGCAGAGCGGGACCAGCCCTCGCAAGGGCAGGAAAGTGGCCCCAGCTACGTGGAGAGCGCGGCCGGCCCGCAGGTGGACTAGGAACCAAAGCGCGGCCCAACGCGGAGAGGGGGGGCCTAGAGCGGGCGGACTGGCCTGAGCCACGTTGGCCTCGGCTCTCCTCTTTGCATATTCATGAGGCCGAGCGAGGCTGGAGCCCGGACCAGTCGGACCAGCCACCAGCCATTGTGAGGTAATGAATTATTCATAAGGAAGCTCCTTGCCCCGCCCAGAAACGTTTCATTGATTATTCATGAGCCTGAGAGGCGGGTTTGTGCGGGAAAAGGCCGTTAAGTCCCCAGCTGAGGGCGGCGTCGACTTGCTGAGGTGAGGCTGGCGGGAGGCGAGTGTGGGAGAAAGCGGCCCTTGAAGCTTTGTTAGTTCTTAGGCTTATGTTACTTTTTTTCTTTTCACTCGAGACTGTTTGATTCGAAGTCTGTCGCTGAGGCCCGATCTTCCCTGAGGAGAAGCGGGGAGGGCGTGGGTGGTGGCGGCTGAGGAGGAAGACAAAGGGGGTCTCTAGTAACGTCTCCCCAACACCTGAAGAGGAAACATTTCACTCGTGGGGGGCTTGGGGGGGTCCCGTGACCCACATCCATGTACTTTACTCACTCTTACTTTGTTGTGAGGACGCGGCTGCGGCAGTTAGGCGCCAAACAGTCGGGGAGACGAAATCTGTGGAGACAAGAAGTCGGTGTAGAGTTTTCGGGGTTCGTCGTAGCTAAGTCAGTTTTTGTCCAGCCACTGAGGCGTTCGGCCAGAATCAATGCCTGGCCGGGACCAAGCGGGGAGACAAGTGGGGAGCAGCCCCCCCAATGACCTCGCGGTGTCCGCCATTTGCGGAGCGTCGAGGCGCGAGGGGAGCCGCGCCGCGGGGAGTGTCCAGGGCGCATCCCGTACTCCGCCGGGAAAACCAAGAAAGTTCGGTTCTTGCCCCTAAAGGAGTTTTTAAATCTGATTAGGATGAACTCTGGTTTCTTCCCTCTTGGGCTGTAAACGCCCTGTGATGGGAGGGTGCCTTCCACCCTGTTAATCCCGCACGATGCCTGGCACGCTGCCCCCGGCCCCCCGCCAGTGTTGAATGAATGAGTTTAGTAGCATGAAGGGGATATTATAAAGTTCGAAAGAGCATGAACAAATATCCAGTTAATACCTCGGAAGCCGCTTACTCTGAGCCCGGAGTAGGGGAATTATCGGGGCCAAATGGGATTTATTAAATGGTGAATAATAATTTATGGAAGCAAGCTCTGTGACAACTCTGAGTAACCTTGTGGACCTTGGCAATCATGTCCTCTTCTTTCTAGTTTTACCTTTTAATTCGTTTGGATTGTATATTTTATGCAGGGTAAGATTTAGATTTAGGTTGAGGTTTTATTTTTTAATTTTTTGATTATGGATGCCCCGTTGTTCTGGCACAGTTAATTGAAATTAACCTTCCTCCACTGAATTGGTTTTCCTTTTCTTTATTTTTTAAAAGATTTTTTAAAAAAAAATTTATACAAGAGCGGGGTACAGGCCAGAAGGGCAGTGGGTGAGAGGATTCACCAGAGATAGAGCGGAGAGCAGAACAGGCAGACTGACAAAATACACTGCTGAGGGGAGCAGTGGGCGAGACAGGAGAGGTCTGCTTCGCCATGTGGGTTTCTCTCTGGCCAGCCAGGAATCGACCCCGCGCTGCAGAGGCTGCAGACAGCTTCACAGTGCTGCGCTCAACCCACTGCACCATGGGGGAGGCACTTTCCTTTTCTTTAAAATGAACAAATTTCATTGTTGTAGCGGATATCATCTCATGCAGCTTTATGGATCTGCTAAACACACTTATGTTGACATACACTACCTTTGAATAAAGCCATTCTTCATATCTTGCACATGTAAAGAAGGTCTTCTGATTGCACCTTAGATCCAGCTGTTGGATATTACTGACTCGTTAGAGGATTTTCTCGAAAAATTGTCATGGAAGATTGGGAAAGATGGTTGGAGAGCATCAGGAAACTCAGCAATTATTGTCTCGGGGCAAATGTAATAAAACTGGTTTTGTTTCACTTAGAATGACCAAAAAAAGGAGGGGGGGACACTTAAGCCTTAACTATCTAAATGACAGTGTATTAATCTTTATTCTAAACTTGTATTTATACATAAAAGGCAAAATACTACGAAACTGTGCCATCATTTTTAAATAGGGCAGTTGAGATGTTGGGCAAGGGTTAAGACCAGAGTGAATTTTTATCTGAGAAAGCACAGAAATCTTGCCTTTTTCCTAAGAAGACTATAATCCTGTCACAGAGGACAGGTATTGATGCCTGGTGAAGTTGCAAATGTTTGTAGATGCAATCAATATACAAGAAAATAGAAGTGAAAGGCATTTGAAAGTTAGAATTTTGTTCTTATCTATACTTATGAAATTTCTCCTAGGTTTTTAGATGAGTCAGAACAAGGTGATTAAAAAAAACATCAGCGCTATTCTCTGAGAGTGTATGATCTGTAGAGTCAGACCTCCTGGGGCTGTCAGCTATGAGCTTTCAAAATTAAGCAGGGTTTGTACTTCAATAGGGGACCTCCACAAAATACCTGCTCAACAGGAAAGCAACAGTAGCAATAGAAAAGAGTTTGACAGGAAGTTGAAACAGACCTGGACCAAGAAGAGGAGAACCTCTTGCTTTGTTCTTAGGCTACAGAGACCTCTAAGGGAGGTGGGGAAGCTGCCTCCTATGGGCAGGACTGGACAACCTGGAAAAAGAAAAAGCTCTGGTTTGGGCCTCCCCTGGTGGCGCAGCAGTTGAGCGCTGGGTTGCGAGGCTGCCCTCAGTCTCTACAGCGCCAGTTCGATCCCCGGCTCCCTGTGAGGGCCCCACAAAAAAAAGAAAAAGCCCTGGTACCCTCGAGAAGAGGAAGTCCAGGTGGAGTCTGATGAGACCAACTTTGTTCTTGAAGCCTGCGTGGGCTGGATGTCAAGCGTTCGCTGAGACCCTTTATGGAGTATTCCAACAAAGCAGCTAAAATTGCTGTTTAGTTATTCTGCCCTGTGATTTTATGCAAAATTAGGTATATGGTTTAAAAGTAGATTTGGTTTGCAAACTTTTGCTACACTGTTGAAACAATTTGGGATTAAGGTTGAGAGAATCTGTTTTTGCATAAGTTGAATCAATTTTAATATTTTTCCTGTGATTTGATACCTTTGCTGTTTTGTTTTGGCTAATGCCTCCAGGTTTTTTTTGTTTTGTTTGTTTTTTTTTGTTTTTGTTTTTGTTTTGGGGGGGGGTTGGACTGATAAACTTTCCCAGGGAATGGAGGACTTTTGCTTTCCACAGTGGAAAATACCTGGAGAGACTGGTTTCATTTTGGGAACCCTGAGAAAAATTTTCATCCGAGACTGTACCCCAGCATCCATACATTTGATCTTCAACACCATGGAAATGATGGCAAAAAGTGAAGCTAATTCCATACAGGCTTTGTGGATGCCACCCCTACTCCATCAAGACACCGGGAAACTACAAATCCCAGGATCCCCAAAGGGAAGTGGCAAGGACCTAAGGGCGGAGTTAAGCAGCCATTTTCTCTGTTTGTAAATAAAAACCAGCCATGTTAGTGGGGTCGTGCACATTTGGCTTGTGCTCTTGGCCAGGCAGGTTTGGTCTTGGCAGGTCATTTGGGATTCCAGGTTGGTAGAACGGGTGGAACACATTTAAGAATTTATCTCCCTCTTTTCTCCCTGAGTTGTACATTTCCCCATTCCCCTTCCCTTGTGAATAAACCTTTTGTTAAACTTAAAAAAAAAAAAAAAAAAAAAAAGAAAAGAAAAGAGTTTGAAAGGAGCCTGGGTATTACAAAAAAGGTTTTAAACATTTTTTTGCCTTCTGAAAGCAAGTTCATTGTAGAACCACCAGAGACAATACCTGATTAGAATAAGAGGCAACCCCACCAAGGAGAGTGCTGGTGGTGCATCATTTTAGATAGAAGAAAGCAAAGGAGGATTTCCTTTTGGAGAGTCATTACAGAAAAATCCCTAACTTGTGAGTCAAAATTTCTACAGTTTTAGTTTCTTTTTTGCCACTTAGTGGTTGATTGACCCTGGACCAGTCAATTAACTTCTCTGGACCTTGATTTCCTTCATCTAGAAAAGCAGATGTTTGGACTAGCTGACATTTAAAGTTCCTTCAACCTCTAAAATTTTGTAATTCTTTTCTAGGCCTTTAGTTTTTCCTTGTTCCTGTAGTGTGTCTCTGTTGATTCAGCAAATATTTATTGAGCACCTACTATGTTCTAGCACTGTGATAATTCTTAGGAAGATTCACGAGTGAGCTAAACCATATACAAAATGTCACGTGATTCCATTTTTATGAAATGTCCAGAATAGGTAAATCCAGAGACAAATACCACATCCCCTTGCGAGCCAGGGAAGGGAAGAATGGGGAGTGTTAGGTAATGGGCTTAAGATTTCTTTTTGAGGTAATGAAAACTTCTGGAATTAGATAGTGATAGTTGCAAACTTTGTGAATATACTAAAACCCACTGAATTATACATTTAAATAATTGAGAACTAGGTAGACACAATATTATTTTCTATTAGTTCACGTGGTGGGGAAAATTGGAACCACGGTACAATATTTATTGCATTGGGCACATAACCCAAACTTGATGGTGGTAGCGAATCAGGAAGTAATTCCTTGAGAAAAGTATACTAAGCCATATCTAGGTGATGTAGGAGTTGGGAATGGAGGAGGATGTCCCAGTCAGAAGGAATATTCAGTAAAATATATATGGGGATATATAGGTAGGAATTAATTAGAATATAATAGTAATTGGAAAAACGGGAGTGTGTTCAGACTGGGAATGAGTTTAGAAGTTAAAAGTTAAAAAAAAAAAAAAAAAAAGCCGCTCTCCTAGGACAGATCCTGAAGAACACCAAAAGCTAAGAAATGGGCAGGAGAAAAAAATTTGAAGAGGACAGTAAAGAACAACTGGGAGGCTAGGAGAAAACTAGGAGTTCAAACATTAATAGTAGATATTTTTTAAAAGCAAACATGCTTTGTTACATATATTGAAATATGTGTCAGTGTTTTAATTGCCTTATAAATAATGACTCATTTAGTACTTACAAAACACCTACAAAGTAGGTACTATTACAATCACCATTTTACAGATGGGGAGACTGAGACAACCCAGGATCCTATGGTGAGTGAGTTGGAGACTGAGATTTGATCTTAGGCAGCTTGGCTCCAAAATAGCCCAGTTACTAAACCACTATATTATGTATGTTACCTCTCCAGATAAATACATAATCTTATAAACACTGTAAGAGCCCTGAGAAGATTATATTGTTATCAATTCAGTAATTTCCATTTTACAAAAAGGAAACTGATTCTTGGAAAGATTAAGTTATTTGATCAAGTCATACAGCTTCTAAGTAAGTGAGCAGAATTTGAATCCTGGTTTGTTAGCTACAAAGCCTCTACTAGATTATGCTGCTGGTTATTTTTCCATGTATACATTTGTATGTGGTTATGAAATTTAACTTTACTTACTTTATCGATGTTAATTCCTCATGGATACTAATAGTGACTAGTTTTGAATCCTTTCTCAAAAGCAAGTATTTTGAATGTTTCAGAGTTTTCAGTGATAATATAAATTTAATCTAGGCTATTCATACATTCAAAAAATATGGAATGTGAATGAATTGTGTTCTAATTAGTTATGCTATTTTCAGTGCTTGATTATCTAGAAATGCCACCAGAATGCCTTATGATCATAGAGAAATTATAAAAAGCCACCAATATAGAAAGCTATTTAAAAATAATTATTCCTTTCATTTATTAGCTCTAAAACTAATAACTACCCCAGTTGGGGGTAATTTACCACGGTTTAATAGACCAGAATTAGAGCTTAAACTCTTGTACTTATTTTTCCCATTTTACTTCTTGAAGTTGTCAGAGAGGCATCCCAACTAATGTGCTGAATCAGATTTGAAGGTTATATTCAGAAATGAAGGTTATACTCTGTGGTTAAAAAAATACATATATATGGGGCCTCCCTGGTGGTGCAAGGCCTTAAATGTCAACACCATGAAGTTCTCTGCAGCCACTGCAGCACAAGTTTGATCCCTGGCCAGGGAGTCAATCCACATGGAGCAGTAGACCTCTCCTGTCTCGCTGGCTGCTCCCTTCAGCAGTGTATTCCAGTCAGTCCTCCTGTTTTGCTCCCCATTCTGTCTCTGGTGAATCCTCTCACACCCCACACCTCTGGCCTATACCCCAGCTCTTGTATGCATAAATTAATAAATCTTTTATATATAGATAAATAAATCTTGTGTATATATATATACTAATTATATATTTATAACATTTAATAACCCTCTGTTATTTTGCCCAATATGCAGTTTATTTTTCTCCTTCAAATGTCTTTGGGAACAAGTAACTTAGCTTAAATTTTCATTGGATAATTAGAAATATTAATTCAAAGGCCTTATGTCAAATTTATTTTAAAAATTGGTAGTGAAGATAAAGCTTTTTATTAAGTTAACTTTCCAAAGAATACAGTTCAGTGCTGATCATATATGTGTGTGTGTGTGTGTGTGTGTGTGTGTGTGTGTATCGGAATATTTAAGAACCAAAGAACCATTAGGTGATTTTCAATCTCATAAAATATTTTAGGAGCGTCCCCTTGTGCTGTTCTGAAGAATTTGAGAGAAGTTAAATAATTCCTGTTTATGATCTCTGTCACCACCTTGTGGCAGTGTCTTCAAATAATTCTGCACTTTTATTTGCAAGCTCTTCCAAAATTTTGCACTAATCTATACATAAAACAAGCCACAGGCTATCCTGGATGATCCAAAATGAAATTTATTTGAATGGAAATTGAAAGAAACAGGGGCCTCCCTGGTAGCGCAGCAGTTTGAGCACCTCTCTGTGAAGCTGTCCTCAGCCTATGCAGCACAGGTTCGATTCCTGGCCAGCTAGGGGGATACCCACATGGTACAGCAGACCTCTCCTCTCTCACCCACTGCTCCCCTCAGCAGTGCTTTCAGTCTGTCTGCTGTTCTGCTCCCAGCTCTGTCTCTGGTGAATCTTCTTATCCTCCCAAACCTCTGGCCTGTACCCCAGCTCTTTTTTTTTTTCCCAGCTCTTGTATAAAAATAAATAAATCTTTAAAAAAAAAAACCTTGAAAGAAACCCCCATATGATGTTAAGACATTTGAATGTCACTTTTTTGTGTAACTGAAACAACAAAAGTGAGAACTAGATGTATCTTAAATGTTAACTTCTCATTGAAGTAAAATATACATGAGATAAAACTGACTACCTCACTTATTCTCAAGAATATAATTCAGTAGCACTAAGAGCATTTAGAGTGTTGTGTAACCGTCACCATTATTCATTTCTAGAAAATGTTCATTGCCTTGAACAGAACCTTAAACTTCCCACTCCTTTCACCCTCCAGCCCCTGCTAATCTCAATTCTGCTTTCTGCCTCTATGAATTTGACTACTCCTACCTCATATAAGTGGAATCATGCAATATTTGTCATTTTATGTGTGGCTTATTTCACTTAGCATGTTTTCAAGATTCATGCATGTTGCAGCACTTTTTAGAATTTCATTTATTTTTTAGGCTGACTAATATTCCATATATCACACTAAAATCCATTTATTGATCATTGTTGATGGACATTTGGGTTATTTCTACAATTTTGTTATTGTAAATAATACTGCTGTGAACATTGGTATACAAGTATTTGTTTGAGTCCCTGCTTTCAGTTCTTCTGGATATATACCCAAAAGTAGACTTGCTGGAAATATGGTGTTTCTGTTTAACTTTTTAAGGAACTGTCTACCTACTGTTTTCCATAGTGACTAAATCATTTTACATTTCCACCAGCAGTGTACAAAGGTTTCAGCTTCTCCGCATCATCACCAGCACTTGTTATTTTGCATTTTTAAAAACAGCAGTCCTAATGGGTATGAATATATACTTTAGCGTTTGGTTTGAATTTGTAAATCAATTATACATAAATTTAATTCAATAAAAGTTTTTGAGCCCTTCCTGTATACAGAGCACTGTTATACCCTGAGGGAATAGCAAGGATGAGTAAAACATATTTTTGATTCTTTAGGTGATTTACAGTTTATTTTTCTCCTTCAAATGTCTTTGGGAACAAGTAACTCAGCTTAAATTTTCATTGGATAGTTAGAAAAATTAATCCAAAGGCCTTATGTCAAATTTATTTAAAAAATTAGTAGTGAAGATAAAGCTGTTTATTAAATTAACTTTCCAAAGAATACAGTTCAGTGCTAATCATATTGTTCTTTGGAAAATTCAAAGTGAAGATTTTTTTTTCAACCTAAAATCATTTTATAATTTACTGTGGTCTGATAGAACTATTTTGTATTCTTTCTTCTTTGCCTCTTCAAAATTAGCTCAGTTATTTTCTCGCTAAACTGAACAATCTTGAAAAGTTTATATTTAACTGTCCTTGATTTTAGTTTTTCACTTGTTTTTGGAATTTTTCACTTTGAAATTTGGCAAAATAACAAAGGGTTATTAAAATGTTATGTTAAGCAAATCTCTAAAATTTATTTCTTTTAATAGGTTAGACTTGTTTAAAGAATCCTGATACATTCCTATAATGGCCACTGCTCAACTCTGTCACTCTGTCAGAATTCACAAGACATCTAAGGTATATTAAGAATTAAGAGAAAATCAATGACTATTTAGTGAGTTAGTTTAAAATCATGACTTGAAGCTTTGGTGCTTTATTTATTTATTTTTTTGAACAGCAGTTTTCTCAGTTAATTGGCACTTAACATTCTGGCAGAATATGTCTACATTTTAACTGCCTAATGGACTGTGAATGTTTAGAAAATTAGATTTCTAAAAGTAACTTTGTAACATGCATGTTTTATATTTATATATTTAGATTTTTTCTGGAGTATAAGAAATCAGAGACAAGCAGATGTCTAAAAAGAATGGTTCTTTGTTAAACATTCACTTCCTGAAAAAATTAGGAAACTTCTAATGCACACCATGATGCAATTATAAGAATTGAAGGAGAGAACACTGAGATGAATTTGGATGCTGGGACTGAGTTAATACACAAAGTAGTGTGTGCATTACATACATGTGAAAGAGTTAAACAGTACAACTTAGAAGAATTAAGAGATTAAGGAATATATACTTTGTTCTCTAATCAATAGAAAGTTGGTGGGTTTGATCAGGAAAGTGGATAAAATAATGCTTTTAGGACTATTGAACTATAGCAGAAATAGGAAAGACTGAGGTGAAAGAGAACTAGGGCAGAGAGAAAGCAAGTCATTATTCAGCATACTCACCAAGCAGACTTCTGATTCTCATTTTGTTTCCTAAGTGTGCTTCCTTCCTGAGGGGAAAATGCTGAGTTGGATATATAAATTGCAATCAGCTTGGCAATTATTTTGCTCGCTGCAAATTAAGAAGTTGACCTTTTGATATAAACGGATCTTTATAGTTTGGACTACATGAGCTATATCTCCCAGAAAATTTTAAGTGACTATATGATTATGCTATTTAATACTTAAGACAACAATAATAATAACTATAAAAGTTAGATTTATTTGGCACTTAGCATGCGCGGGGCTGTGTGCCAAGGGCTTTATATTGTTTCAGTTAACCCACACAATAAGCAGGAAACTAAAGCACAGACACATAAAATAGCTTGCCTAATGTCATGTAACTCGACAGCTAAGCTGTCAAGTATCACTTTTACCATTAGCACATTATCTTATTAAAATAATTTACAATGGGGAGGGAGCACAGTGGACTATGGGTGTTTTGGTGGTTTACTAAGACCTGAACAGGGAGATCCTATACCTCTAAAACAAACAACATTGTAAACCAAGTTACCTCCATAAAAAAAGGTTATGTGTTTTCCATTATTTTGTCATAGTATCTTCATTTCAGTCATCCATAAAAACATAAAAAAAAGCGTCAACCAAAAAAAAAAAATCAGTAACAACTTTTAAAATAAAAACTCTTAAAACCAGCTGAACTAGGCGAAAAATTCCTGTACTATGAAGTAGCAGAAATCTAGAGGTCTATTCTAACTATTGATCTGCATTACTATATGTGCCCTTATAGATTATAAATTTAAAGTGTCTTTATACTTTCAGGCTATTTAATTTTATAAATGGTTGTTACATCATACATGCAAAAGTATTAATTTTATTGTATACCCTTAAACAACTGTATGTAATGTGGTTTGACAAAAAGGATCAACTGATAATTCATTACCACTAAATAGTGTACCAAAGATGCAAGCTTGCATAGCAAAATCATAGGTAGAATGTCTAAAAGAGCTCTATAGATATGAAAAACTTATTGAGAATTCTTTCTTATATAAAGTCATATTTGTTTTAACTAATAGGATTATTAAAGCTTGAACATTTGGAATTATGTAGTGTAGTAACAAGACCCCGAATTTGAATAAGTAAGGTAACCAGATACTTAACAATTCTGATTTCTGACAGTGTAAATTAGTTTCTACTGCTTTTGTACTTTATATAAATTATATAAATGAGTACAGGAGTGCTCATTTGTATCTGGTTTCTTTTGCTCAGCATTATGTGTTAAGTATAGTTATAGATCATTAATTCTTATTATTCTGTAGCATTCCATTGTGGATATATACCAATTAATTTATCCATCTTCCTGTTGATGAATAATTGGGTATTTTCCACTTTGGGACCTCTTATGAATAATGGTATTTGGAATGGTCAATGATTTTGAGGAGTTCTTTACCCATTCTATATGAATCATTTGTGAGACATGTATTGATTATATCTTCTTCCACTCTTGAGTTTCCTCGTTGCTCTTAATGGTGTATTAGTGAACAGAAGTTCTTAATTGTAATAGTCTAATTCATCAATATTTGGAAAATACTTTTAGGTGATAATGTATTCACATAATACTAGCTAGAGTTAATAAGACAGTTTGCGCTTGGATTAAAGAAGATACAAAACAGTCTCATAGACTAATTATGACAAATAATCAAATTATATATTTGTGTTAACACATGCACACAGTGAGCATTGAATGATATGACAAACATATTGAAATGATAACTCAAGATACTCAACATAAACTATCCATCAGGAATTATTCTTTTTTTTTTAAAGATTTATTTATTTATATATACAAGAATTGGGGTACAGGCTTGGGGGGGAGTGAGAGGATTCACCAGAGACAGAGTGGGGAACAGAACAGGCAGATCAACTGAAATACACTGCTGAGGGGAGCAGCGGGTGAGTCAGGAGAGGTCTGCTTTGCCATGGGGTAGCTCCCTGGCCGGGGATTGAACTCATGCTGCAGTGGCTGTGGATAGCGTCATAGGTTGCATCTTAACTCCTTGCGCCACCAGGGAGGCCCCATCAGGAAATACTCTTTATGCAAGAATACTGTTAGTTGGTAGACTCTTCTAACATACTCCTACATCTTCATACATGTTTGTCACTCTCATGACATTTCTAATATGGCATTTAATTTAAGGCAGATTATCCAATAATTTAAGAACAACTGTATAAATTGTTTAGTTTGTCATATATATATGTACACATGCACAATATATGAACTTTAGAAACAAACCATTGATAATAGTGATACTTTTTGTAGAATATCTGGCAACTCAAAGAGCCTTAGTATTTGGAAAAATTCTAGATTAAACACAAAGATGTGGAAATATATGGTAGTAGAATAATAGAGGAAGAGCAGTAGTAGCACCACAAAGCTAGAGAGAAAGGTGCATAGGAGAGGATATGGGAGTAGAGTCAGAGAGGGGAGAAGATGAGGAAGGAAAACTAAGCAAGGATAAAATTTTAACAGTTTTCAAATGTCACACAGAGGTATTTGAATTCTATCTATATGAATACCGGGAGTGTCATGATAAGATTTATATTCTTTGAAGTTAATCATGATAATATGGTAATATGAAGGAAAGATTGAAGGCAGAAAGACTGAATAGCAGGGAGATCAGGGCCTACTGCAGTAATAAAGGGGGTGAAGTAAGTATGTTTTGAGTCAAAGCAGTGGCAATGAGAAGGGAATGGGGAAAATGGATTTTAGATCTCTTTTAGAGAGAATAAATAGGACTTAGTGATTGGATATGGGGTATAAAGGAGGGAGAGAAGCCAAATATGTGCTACTTCTAGTCTGGATGATTGGAATGGATGTTGATTCATTTGCAGGAAACTTGGGATCAGATTTCAAAGTGATAGCTATGAACTGAGTTTGACAAGTCTACAGAGTGGCCTAAGTGCAGATGCTCAGAGGATAGAAATATAGAACTGGGGTTCAGAACATAAAAAAGGACTTGAAGTATAGGCTGTAACTGAAGCTGTGAGACTAGATGAAATTACCTAAGAAGAGAGTTAGAGGGAAAAAAAGGACTGAAGACAGAATTCTAGGTAGGACCAACATTTAAAAGGAAAAAAAAAAAACTGGAAAAAATAAGAGATTGAGCAAGATACAGAAGGATAAGTGAAGAGTCATAAGAAAATTGTGTTACTTTCCCGAGATGAATAATGCCAGATTTTGAATACTAACAGCCTTTTTCATTACTGTGCTTATTACCATCAATGTATAAGTACAAGCTATGCATTATGTTTACTCAAGTACTAATGAATTAGATTAAATCCTTATCTACTAGAGTCAAAATGTTCCTTTTGCCTTGTCACCTATATTATACCCCATTCAGGAAAATTAGCAGTAGACAATCTCATTTTAAACTTGAATAGGTCATATTGTAGACGTTAACTTTTAATACTTTCTCTGAAAACAAACTGCAAAGCATGAGGTAAAGTTGAGGGACCTGTGAATGAATCATAGTAAACAAAGAATTTGTTGAATTATTTTCTACTGTGGTTCATCAATGCAGTTTCTTGGAGGACAGGAATTCCAAAATGAATAGTAAGATAGCCATTTCTCTCCATTGCACATTCATATTTACCTGCACCAAAGCAACATTAGTAAGAAAAGGGCATTAAAAGTAAAAGAATTGCTTTTTCTGTTTCTTTTTACTTTTTTTTATCACAAGTAAACTGGAACCAGAACATGATCTTGTCTATCAAGTTTTAGTGTAGATCTAATCATGTTAATGTAATAAAGCATATTAAGTGTAATGTAAAAAAAGAAAAAGAAAATTGTGTTAATGGCAGCTGAGAGAAGAGGGAGAGGGGGCAGAAGTATCACACACTGCATGAAAGTTAGAGAGTACAGGAACCTAGAAGTCAATGATAGGGAGCTTTGGACATTTTGAGAATAGTATAGAATTGAGGGGGTGAAGGAAAGATTGTATTGGGTTCTGAGACATGCGAAAAGGGTCTCGAATCCATGGATCATTGTGAAATAAATAGTCTTGAATTACTTGAGTAATTGTCTTTGCTCTTCTACTCTGCCTTACCTGTGCAATCAATTATTTGAACAACAAATAGGGTTTAATTAGAAACAAAACAACAGAAGAGAGAACAGATTGGAGAGTGCACTCATGGTGAGAACAATGTGTATGTCCCTGAATCTAAGGCTAATGATCTCCTAAATAACCTCTGGGGAATCTTCTCTTCAGTTCTACCAGAGGTGGAAACTATCATTTCTTGTTGGAGAATCAAGGCATATTGGGCCCTGTAGTTTGCTGATTAATGCATGTGTTGTTACTCTTTCTAGCCTCCCAACCTCATTTAAATAGAGTTCTAAATATTAATGTTTACACTTGTGGAGATCTAATTTAATGCAATATTCAAAACCCTGTTTCCTTTTTTATTATGTTGAAGCACAAAATAAATCACCCCATACTCCTCTGGTTCTTGAACAGGATGAGTAATCAAAATAGCATCTGATGGATAAACAAAGAAAAAACAATGCATTCATATGGAGAATTCCCAGGGTTGTAAAGTCTAAAGAAAACTGGAGCAAATCAGGTGTATTTATCCTGCATTTTAGGACCTGGGGCATAAGGACAGAGAGGAAGAATCCACATTACAGACAAGAAGGGAGTGATCTTATCCTTACTCTCAGACTAAGGATGAGATTCTTAGCGAGAACATGTTTATTGATAAACCTAGAACTGTGTGAGACTCAAACTGTCAGTCTTCTAGGTCTTAAAAGAGAGACGATTGATTGCTTCTTCACCTAGAAAAGGGCAGAAGCTTATGACATATAGATCTCTTCTTCCATTAGCGGGCTAAGGATTTAGGCAAGAACGGAAGCCTGTTTTAGTCTTCAGGACCTTCATTGCTCTCAATCCAAAACAATCTGCATTCTTTAATCTCCTGCAACTCACAAAGCCTTGATTGCCCTCTAGTTCTGTTCTCATCCCAAGATCTACTCTGAGGCTATTGAGGAAAGTCTGTCTGATGCTTTTGAGGGGACTGATCCCATAATTAGCTATAAAGGTATCAGATTTGAAGTTTTGAAAATCTTTTCATTGTATTTATGGTAATGGCTTGATAGGGTGAAAACATTAAGGAATACTAATCATTTTCATCTTTTTCCACAGGAAACAATTTTCCCATCCCAAATCACTAATGAGCATGAGTCACTGATAATGGTGAAGAAACTTTTTGCTACTTGTATTTCATGTATAACATATCTAAGGGGTCTGTTTCCAGAGAGCTCTTATGGAGAACGCCATTTGGATGGTAAAGTATAATTAAATGGTTAATTTGACTGGTGTAGGCCTTTTCTTTTTTTTGGCAGGAGTAAGCCTTTTATTTCTCACAGGCTGCTAATTCCAAATTATGGGTCTGTTCATCAAGATCAATTTGCTAATTTACTTTTCATTTTAATTTCACTATGTTTAGTGGTTATACTTATAGGTTTTATGTTAGTACCTGGCTAGATACCAAATAACAGACTAAGGAAAAAAGAAATCTATATGAAGTCCAGTAATTCTAAACCATACCCATTAAAAACAGCAGCCAGATCAAAATCTGTTTGGATGCTGTGGAACTGAATATTTTGTGCCTCAATTAAATTTGTTTTTTTGAGCTGTACTTTGGCACTGAGGAAGTTTAATGGAGCCAGGTTAAAAAAAAAAAAACAAAAAAAAACCTCATCTTCTTCTTAGTGCATATAAATATACTGGGAAAATGTATACTCACACCAAACCCATTTGTTGATTAACACAGATATTGAGACCATTATCATTCTAATCAGCTTAGTTTTTTTCTCAACTGCCAGGTCTTCTACTTTTCTTCCCTTTGTTTCTTATGTTCTTAAACTTACAATCTCATGACCTTATAGTATAAGCTGCTTCTGACACCTTTTCCTTCTCTTATATTAAAAAAAAATCTACCCAGGACTCCTTGTTAGTGTGCTATCAAGTCACCCCAAACTGTTGTGGGATCTAGCCATCTATGCACACAAAGGCAAAAGAAGCAAATTCTTAATGTGAAAGATTGTTAATAGAATTGGCATGGAGAGAAGGAGAAGGATAGGGTAGGATGGTGTGGGATGGGGGGAGAGGAAGAGTAAGGAGAAGGAAAAGGAGAAGGAAGGATTTCAAATAACAACAAACTCCAAAAATTACCCATCCCTTTGTGGGTTAATGCCCCGCCAAACAGGCCTGGCCTGAAGTCAGGCCACTGAGGCCCAAAAGCTTGCCACAAGTCTAAAGTACCTTAGGTACCTTAGGGCAATGAACCACAAGAAAGGGCTTATGTAGGTCCCAGAGTGCTGGGACAGAAGGAAAGAGAGAAAATGTGAAATACCCACATAATCCATAGTAAGGTCAAGATAAAGGCTGCCATTGTCTCTGCCAAGAAACAAGAACCAGCTTCTTCATGTGTACTCTCATCCATGTATCTTTTCCAAAGTCCTTCTTTCAAGTATTTCTACATATCTTTCCTCCATGTATCTCCTTCCAGCAGAACCAGGGAGCTAGAAAAGCAAGAGTGCCTGAGCCCATGTGTTCAGTTACAAGCTAAGCATGACTGATAACTTCACCCCTAGTTCCCAGCAATCCCCCATTCAGAAAATCAAATTCAGAGCACGCTGGGAATTGTAGTCCTCAGCACCTAAAATCTCTTTAGCCTGGAGATGTAGTTCATAAAAATGTCTGGGTAGAGTTCATTCAGGACATTATTCACAGGTTCAGAGTTTGCTTCTTACTCCAACATCTTCAATTTTCCAAATTCTTCTTATTTTTGTTTGAAAGGTTGAAATGTGATAACAATTCAAATTATCTTATTGGTTTGTCACTAAAATGAGAATTGTTATTTGGAAAATAAATATGTAAAGCTACAAGTTTTCTTTTAAGATATTTTATTTCAAAATCTTACTATATAACAATTTCTCACATCTATATGTCATTATACACTTCGGCCTCATTCCTATTTAATTTTCTCAAGTAACATTTGATTCAATACGTGAGTATAAAATACATGAGTACTATAAACAGAAAAGCATATTTGCAATCTTGACAACCTAATTTGTATTATGTCCCTTTTTGGTCTTTATGATTTAAATCTGTAATAGTGAATACACTCATGTATAGTATATATCTGCAATTTTTCTTTTTGTTTGAAACATAGAATTAGAAAAAGACATGTTTTGGGTAATTAAGCACTCATTTTGTGCCATTCACTTTCCTAGGCATGGGGATAATATCATTTCATAAAATTTCATGTGTGTATAACATTTTTAATAAAAGTTATTTGTCTTTCTCTCATGTTTATGCTTAAAAGTTCCAACCATCATAAAAATGTTCAATTTTCCTGTGTCACTCTCTTTTTTGGTAATCTCTAAGTTATACCAGTACGGAATAATTTTCATATCTCTCAATAGAGTTAAAAATGATGTCTCTTTTTAGGATAGGAAAACAATAGTTGAAAAGGTGAAGTGATTTATGTATCATCGTACCTGTATTAGTGGTTGATTTTGGACTGAAGTAAATCAAAATTCTCAGGATTTTCCTATTCTTTTCTAAGTATAGTAAAGTAGTTAAATTTCAGGTGAAAATTAGTATTTGACACTAATTCATGAAGAATATTTTCATCTTTTCTTTTAAGGGGAGAATTATCAGAATAATAACTTAAGGTTGAGGTGTATGTTTTAAATTTTTCATAGAGATTATCTCAATGCATCTCATAATTACTTAGAATTCGGTAAAAGCAAAGAGTGACATGAATAGACTTTGCAACCAACTCAGTTGTGTTATTGTAGGAGGGGGCGACTGTAAACTTTAATCAAAGTTAGAATTAAATCAATTAGCAACATAGGGTTTATTTTTAAAATAGAGATCAAAATGTTTCTGTAAGCTATAACACTCAGTAAGTTGTATAAATAAAATACTTTAAAAATACCCTTATTTAGTGCAGACAGTTTGGTACAGCTTATGAAAATAAACTGTGTTTCTATTTTTATAGACCTCAGTTTAAAAATCCTCCGAGAAGACAAAAAATGTCCTGGGTCACTGCATATTATCAAATGGTAAGAACTGAAGTTCCACAAAAGTTGAACAACATTATTTTTATCATGACTGAAATTACCCATTAGACTTTATTAGGCAGTACTATGTTCTTAAAGCCAATCTTTTCTTTTTTTTTATAATTTCCTAGAAATGTGTAACATTTATTCAGTATTATTTTAAGATAGTGACTTTGTTTTGTTTTTGGTGAAAATGAACTTGTATAAAGAAAGAAAAACATCAACTAGAATGTGATTATTTCTCTTGTGCTTGCATGCCAGTGTCCTAAATATTATGGAAGCCAAAAAGAAAAATAAGATGTATTTTCCTATCTCAAATTGTTTACGTATTATTTATAAAGTTCTATCAAGATGTTGCTGGGAGTTTAAAAAAATAATTAAGTGGGAAAAGTAAAATGATTGTTAATTTTCAAATAAAAAAATGTAAATCAGTTCTGTACTTGGATTTTTTTCCCCCCTTAACATCTGGTCCAATTGACATCAAACATTTATTTCTTGACAGGATTCAAGGTTGTTTTGACGCTTTGGAAAAGAGATACGTAAGAATGTTTTAAAATTTACAGCAGGATCAAAGGCTAATCTTTTATTCCTTAAAAAAAGTTTATATTTTATTTTGTTGTGTTTTAATAGCGTACTAGTACCTTCATTTGCATTTATGAACGAGTTTTATTTTGTCTCTGTTTTCCTGTTGATGTCTCAGTTACATCAATTAGAAATGAAACCCTCATTTTTCTCTATTGCATACTCACTCATATCTTTATGACCCAACCACAGTATTTCCTCTGAAGTCACTGGAAGAGATCCACAGGATGTGGGACAGGGGCAATAATCTGGCATTTAGCACATTGAATATATTCAAAATAGTAGCTATTCAAGTTTCAGATATGAAAGGAAAAGATAGACTTGGCTAGTTAGTTTTTATTCTTTTTTTTTTTTTTTTAAGATTTGTTTTTATTTATTTATTTATACAAGCACTGGGTACAGTCAGAAGCGCGGGAGGGTGAGAGAATTCACCAGAGCCAGAGCGGGGAGCAGAGCAGGCAGAAGGACCGAAGTACACTGCTGAGGGGAGCAGCGGGCGGCAGGAGAGGTCTGCGCGCCATGCGGGACCCTCCTCCAGTGGCCGGGGAGCAGCCGGGGATCGAACTGGCGCTGCAGAGGCTGTGGGCAGCTTCGCAACCCAGCGCTCAACCGCTGCGCCACTGGGGTGGCCCGTTAGTTTTTATTCTATCTTAGTTATTTGTTCACTTTGTTTGATGGACATATAACACCCTTTTCCCTCAATATAGTTTTGTAGCTTGAATTTTTCTGCCTGCTCTGCTCCCTGCTCTGGCTCTGGTGAATTCTCTCACCCTCCCGCGCTTCTGACTGTACCCAGTGCATGTATAAACAAAACAAACAAACAAATAAATAAAAAAAAAAATGCCTCTATAATAAATAAATTAAAAAAAATAAAAAATAAAAAAAAATAAAAATTTTAAATTCATCTGATCTTTCATGTTGTCCAAGACAACTGGGAAAATACTCTTAGTCCTGGTTGAAAAAACAAATGTGTGTAAATGAACTTTCTACTACTCCTTTTCCCATCTGTGTCTTCTTTTTACTTTTTCTCAATCCCTATTCCTTAAAGAAATTTTGAGGTGAATAAGCCTTGTGCTGGATTATGTTGTGCACTTGTACATTCCTTTTTTCATTGAACAATTATTCTTATGATTTTTCAACACTGGTTGGGGGACTGAGGGATACAAATATAAAATAGATATAGAATTATGCACACAAAGATCTAACAAACCATGGAAGAAGAAAAATGATATTCACATGCAGTGCTGATGATCAGCTGTTTCCCAATAGCCCACCTATACCTGTTGTTAAAATTTTGAAATACTGTGTATGGGACAGTAAATAACTGCCTCTCTGAGACCTCAAGTGACCCCCATTAGACCTCACTCTCACTCCACCAGTATCTCTTTTGGGATCTCCCCAGACCACTCTACAATATAGCAACTAAAGAGTTAACACCTGGCCAAGGGGAGCTTTTAGGAACCCATCTTTTTAAATTGACGTCTTTTTAAATTGGTCAGCACCTCCCCCATATTGGAAATTGAAATATTGATTTTTTCATTTTTCATATTTTTATATAAAAAAGACATTTTGGCTATCAACTCTATCATTGGTGTGCTGAACACTGTTCATTCTCTTTCATCCATTCATTTAGCAACACTTCATTAGTGTCTATTGTTGAGGGACAGTACAATATCGTTAAGAGCTTGAATTCTGAAATCAGTCCGCAGTGAATCCCAGTGTTGCCTTTTAAAATCTCTGTGACATCGGGCAAGTAAGCTACCTCTTGGCACCTTATTTTTTTTTCACACATAAAATGGTAATAATAATATAACCTCGCCCTTAGGATTGTTTGAGAATTAAATTTGAGTTAGATTTTACATGTCTAGATTTTAGAGATCTAAACCAGAAGTTTGTAAGCATTAGCTTGCATGAGGATCAGCTGGTGGACTTGTTAAAACACATTCTAAGCTCTTCCCCCAAATTTCTGATGTGAGAATTTACATTTCAGACAAATTCCAGGTGATGCTGAGACTGCTGGTCTAGGGATCATACTCTGAGAACTGTTGATCTAAAAATGTTAAGAGCAATGCCTTGGACATGATAAGAACTGCGCGTTAATCCTTCCTCCCTCCCTTCCAGCCTTCTTCCTTTCCTTTCTTGCTTATTTAATCTGTGCCACACATGGTGCCTTGGTACTGGAGGAGATGAAAATAAGAGAAAGATGTGATTCCTTCACTCAAGAGATCACAATCTAAAAGAGTCTTTTCTTAAATAATTACAATATTACATATACTAAAATAACAGTGTAATGTAGAAAGAGTATATACCTAGTTGGATGGATTTATTTTACTTCTATTTAATTTACTACACGTAAGGATGAATCAATCAACGTTACTGTTTTGGGAGATTAAAAAAAAAACACCTTAGACGAGTGACTTAAGTAAGTAGTATTTATGATGTTTTTCAGTTGTTATTACTTTTCCCAGGGTGCCCTCATTACTAGTAGAAATAATTAGTGCTTTAAAAATAATTAGTGCTTTAAAAAAGTCAAGATCTAGAGATCTTAAAACATCTCTTGTGTTGAAGATGATTATTGTATTTCTAATTGTGAAATTTTAGGTTATTTTTACAGGGTTTTTTTGGGGGGGGCCTGTATTATATTATGCTTGAATTTTTTAAAATAAACATTAATTTGTATTTTTAGAAAGTCGTTATAAAAATATGATGTTGTTGTAGTGCAGGCAGACAGTGGGGCAGAGAGAGCAAAGGAGAGTCCTGGAGCCCTCAGTAGCTTTTTCAGACTTTTAATGATCTTTCTACACTATTTGTAGTGAGGCATCCAGGTTCAGGGCAGGCAGGTGGGTGGTGATGGGGGTAGGAGGCTGGCAGGCCTCCCAGCCCTTGGCAAATCTTTACTCTCTCTGGTGTTGTGTCATGGTCTCTTCCTCTCATAGCCGTTCTCCCCCACACCATCCTGTCACTGTTCCATCCTTATATTCTCAGCTTCCAGGCTCAGGTGTGCCCATCTATTCATACCTACGCCATACTCCAGATGTCCATTATCAGATATGTGGACCCTGAGCCCATGTTCCCAAGCGCTCCCTGCATTCAAGACTGCAGGTGATAGCCACAGAGGCCAATGGCGCAAAAAACCTGAGCAATCTTCATTTACCCTTCAGTTCCATATAACCTTCTGACTTCTCATTCCCATTCTCAATCCCTTACCATTCCTACACTGTCCACAATATATTCTTTCAAAAACTTAAGTCTGATCATGTCTTGTGCCTAAAATTCTTTCATGGCTTTCAAAGTAAACTTCAGAGTCCTTCACATAATCTGCAAAGCCTTTTATGATCTGTCTTTTCAAGGCATCTCTCTCTCCATTGCTTACCATGTTCAAGCCACATAAGGATTATGGAATATGCCAAATGGGTTTACCATTGTATATATTATTCCTTTTATCTGGAACGTTTTCTTCCTTATACCCTTTGCCCTGTCAACTCCAATTTCTCCTTCAGATCTTAGCATAAATATTTACTTTTTTGAGGAGGCCTTCCCTGACACCTCTCCATCCCTGCTCCCTACACCATCCTAGATTTTCCCTCTAATTAGTGTTCTCAAGTACCTTATGCTGCTGCTTCATAGCAATTAACCCAACATTAACCCAGTTGTAACAATGTGCTGATCTGTATGATTTCTTTAATGTTTTCTCCCTTGTTGAACTGCATTTTCCCTGAAATCAGGAGCCATGGCTATTTTTGAATCAGAGAATAAATGAACGAACTTTTAATTGAATAATTAATATGAATTAGTTTCAGTGTGTAGTTTTAATATTAGTTGTCTGCAGTAACCAAAACATCCACACAGTGTCACTAAAGTTTTAGCCCTTTGGGTGAAATTGATGAATAATTTGTTATAAATTATGGTCCTAAAATTTATATTCTAGTTTCAAAAAATTTGTCATGTATATTTATCATATATAAAAATATATAATTATGTTTCTATATATCTATTACTTTTTCAAGCACAGAGAATTTGTAGTAATGTGTATATAGGGAGAATAAGCATTTTATAGATTTATATCAGACTTAAAATTTTTTACTGTAGCAGTGCAAACTGCCTGCCTGTGTCTATGCAGGCATCTCTTTTAACATGCCTGTCCCTTTTAAAAGCAGCAGCAACTTTCTTCCCATCTATATCTATGCCAGTGCCTCTTTTTCCTTTCTCTTTTTCCTAATATATCTGTCCTTTCAAAATGAAAAAAAAATTTTTTTACTGTAGTAAATTAATTTCAAGATACAACTTTTGAAAATATGTGACATATTGAATTTTTAATAATGATGATTATTTTGCCTCCCAAACTAGAATATAACTTCTAGGGAGTAAGGATAGTTTTTTGTTTTTTTTTTTTTCTTTCGTATCCCTCTCCTCCCCAGAAGAAGAAATAAGCACAACCTAAATAAATAAATAATTAGTATCCCTTTTTCTGATCTTCTGTATAATTTTTTCTACCCAAGTATTTGGAACCTCTTTGCAGTCATATTTTAATTAACCTTTATTAAAAATAACAATCATATTGGTGCAAGTATATAATAACAATAGTTTTCTTTTGTCTTGAAGCTACACATGGCAGTACTTACAGTAAGTACATGTTTAAAGATCAAGCTTCCATCTCTACTTCATTGTCTTTTAGCAATGAAGTATTAAACAATACTTTCCTCATCCCTCTCTGAATTTATCTATAGTAAGACACTTTGGAATTAAAATAGAATCTGTTAGAAGCCTTAAGTAAAAAAAAATCACAAACTATGTATCTTTTTAGTATGTTACAATATAGAGGAAATATATAGGATATATTATCTGCTCCATCTATATTATCTATCAATGTCTCACTTTTTAAGTTAGTTTATAGACTTCAAGCTTTTTGTTTCTGAAATATTGTAGATTTTTTGAAGGTTTGAATACTTCTGGGAATAACATGGTGTTTATGGTTAAGAATAGAAAGAAAATGAGATGACATTGAGAGTCTTAGATTATGATTTATTTTTAAAAATTTAAAACAATAGATTATTTAGAATTTACTTATAGTTCAGTCACAGTAATTATAAATACCTAGTTATCATTTTCCTTGTAGCCAGTGTCCACAGAATATTCTGAAGACTCTGTGTTCACAACATGAGCTTATTTTATCTCTGACTTGAAATATATATGTAGAAAATATTTATAACATTGAATATATATATCTATCTCTAGCTTGAAGGATATATGTCTTTTATATATATGTATTATGTATGTCTACTAGTACTCAGTAATACAGCTCAAATTGAATTCTTCACATAAAAATGTATTTTGTGAAAGTAGTTTCAGAAACTAAATGCTTTTTATTTTTCCTTAAATAGCTTTACACAAATCCCAAGGAACCTGAGGTAAGAACACACCTAGAGATAGGTATTTAAGTATGTTTATCTGAGTTGAGGCTATAGATTATGTTAATAGACTACCATATGAACTGAGGAACTCATAGTGAGATCCACTTCACTGAGAATGAGATTTTCAGACCTACCTGGGGGTATTGATAAAAGCATTGAATAGAACTGAGCCTATTTTCTAACATTTCAACATTGAGAATCTCTGCTTGTATAAAAACTATACTTTATTATTTATTATAATTGAATCCTTTTTGTTTGTGGTCTTTTGGAAGATATAGTATAATTCTTTTTTTAATTTTTTTTCAAAGATTTATTTTTATTTATTTATACAAGCACTGGGTATAGTCAGAAGCACTGGAGGGTGAGAGGATTCACCAGAGATAGAGCAGGGAACAGAACAGGAGGACTGAGGAAATACACTGCTGAGGGGAGCAGCGGGTGAGACAGGAGAGGTCTGCGTGCCATGTGGGACCCTCACCGGCAGCCGGGGATCAAACCGGTGCTGCAGAGGCTGTGGACAGCTTCATGGTGTTGTGCTCAACCTGCTGCGCCACAGGGGAGGCCCTATAAAGTATAATTCTAAGCTGTTTTTTTCCCAACTAAATTCTCACCCTTGACCTTTTCATAGATTTTTAGAACTTTACCTTTTTACTACTGTCTAGATTTTATTCTTCTTTTTTTTTTTTTTTAAGATTTATTTATTTATTTATTTATACAAGCACTGGGTACAGTCAGAAGTCGGGAGGGTGAGAGAATTCACCAGAGCCAGAGCGGAGAGCAGAACAGGCAGACAGACGAAGTACACTGCTGAGGGGAGCAGTGGGCGGCAAGAGAGGTCTGCACGCCATGTGGGACCCTCGCCTGGCGACCGGGGATGGAACCGGTGCTGCAGAGGCTGCGGGCAGCTTCTCAACCCAGCGCTCAACCGTTACGCCACCAGGGAGGCCCTAGATTTTATTCTTCTGCTTGTTGAATTCTACCCATCCTCAAGCCAACTTATGGCTAAATCTTTCACAAAAATCTGTTTATTCTGTTCACACTAATTTCTTTCTTCTGTAAATTCTTTTTCTAGCAGGACCCTGCAATTCATGTAGATAACTTAATTTCCCCAACCAGTTTGTGAATTCTTGAGGACAGGGATTTTCTACCTCCTAGAGTAAATATAATAGTCCTGGGCACATACAGTTACTTGTGTGGGAAATTTTGAATGGCATCTGTGGTTGTGGCACAGAAATGGAGGGAGAAGCTCTGTTCTTTCTTTTCATTCTTCTCTTTTTATTTTCCTCCTTAACCTTCTCCCCTCCTCTTCCCTTGCTTTCAATTTTTCCTCTCTAAACCTATGGGTTTTAAACTAATTGGCAGCATTCAAGACTAATTTAGCTTTTAGCATCCTTTCTTGCAAGGTTATTAATAATGTTTGAACTCAGTGGAAGAAAACTGGTGGATATATGTGGGTAATAATTCCTTAATGCCAAAATGACCTCTTTTTTAATCTTTGTTTTTAATCTCATTTAGTTTCCAAATGTTTCTCCCCCACCCCCAATTAGGTGTTAATAGAGTGTTCATTTCCATAATGCAATAAATTATTGTTCAGCAGTGAAGTGCTGAACAAATTGGACTTAACAGAAAAATCTTAGAGTGGAAAGAAAACTATTAAATAAGGTTTAATGCAGGATATATATGTAAATAATAGTGGAGCTAGGAAACAAAAACTTATGATATGAAATTTTGAGCTATAATTTGCGACCCAGAAAAAGATACTTTGAACATTTACAGGTTTTCCCTGCTATAGCCATGATCCCTAAACTCATTCCCTGCTAGAGCAATGATCCCTAAACTCTGTATATGTGGCATACTTTTGGTTACTAGAAAATTTGGTGTCGTGTTTGAGGTTATGAAAAGCCGCAAAATATCACCAAATAAGTGAGCAATAATTACAATATAAATGTGGTATAGCAACATTCATAGTGCCTAAAAGTATCCATGGAGCTAAGTTGTTTGATGGTTGATGTACTATGGTTGCATCAAGTCACTTGCACACTGTTTACCTCTCTGATCTCATTCTCACAATATGCTCACAAAGCAACAGTCTCATATAAACATTGTCTTTCTTTGGCATCTATTTCATATGGTGCCATGTTTCTTGATTCATATTTTAGAAGTGTGCCCTTCCCTAAATAAAATTGCAGAAACAATAGCAATATTATTATTAGTGGATATGAATATTTTGAGGAGAAAAATCTTATTGTTTCACCATCTATTTACATATTGGAAGTGGTCAATGTCTACTCTTTTTTAAAAAAAAAATCTATTTATTTATACATACAAGAAGTGGGGTGTATGCCAGAGGTGCCAAGTGGGGGTGGGGGTGAGAGGATTCACCAGAGACAGAGTGGGGAACAAAACAGGTGAATCTGTAAAATACACTGATGAGGGGAGCAGCAGGTGAGACAGGAGAGGTCTGTTGTGCCATATGGGTTAGCTCCCTGACTGGGGATAGAACTCATGCTGTCATGGCTGAGACTTAACCCTTGTGTCATGAGGGAGGGCCAGTCAATATCTACTCTTAATAGACTGGTTCAGGAGCTGAACTATAAGTGTTTCTAGCCACAGTATGCTTTTAGAGCCTTCATTTAAAAAAGTCTTTCTGGGAACTCCCTGGGTGACCTAGGTGTTAAGTCTCAGCACTATCACTGCTATGGCCTGAGTGTATTTCAGTAAATCTGCTTGTTCTGCTCCCATTCTGTCTCTGGTGAATCCTATCAATCCTTCATGCCCCCACACCTCTGGCCTACACACAAGTTCTTCTATGCAAAAATAAATAAACAAACAAACAAACAAACAAATAAATAAATAAAACTTAATTTCAAAAAATCCCCCTAGAATAAAGTCCTAATTAAGCATGAACACTGGCTGGATATTTACACAAATATTAATTTGGTTCCCTTTATGTGCATAGTATTACTCGAGGTATAACTACATGGGAATTATAGGATAGACAAAATCCCTGCCCTCTGGAAGCTTACATTCTTATGAGAGGATAAACAATTAACAAGTAAACCAAAATTAGCAAATCAATTTCAAATAGTCATAATGCTATGGCAAAAATCAAAGAAAGGTGAAAAAAAAAAATCAAAGAAAGTTGTATCCTGGAGGGTGCCAAGGCAGGGATGGAAGGGGTTGGAGGGCAGTTCATGGAGGGCCTCTCTGAGGGGCTATTGTTTGAACTGAGACTGAATGGCCAGAGTCAGCCTGTGCAGATATGTGAGACACAGTGGCATATGACTGGCAGAGTAGCCTAGTAGTTAGCATTGCAGGCATGGAGTAACATTCCAACTCCACACTTACTAGCTTCATCTATAGTGAGGATAATAATACCTATCTCAGAGTGTTGGCTACATAAGAATAAGTAGATGTGGGACATTTAGGACAGTGCCAAAATATAACTATTATCATCAAAGAGAGAGTATGTTCCAAAGTACAGTTGTCCAATGGCCTTAAGGTAGGGAGGTATCTTGCATGTTTGTGGACAGAAAGGGTGCCTTGAGAGTAGAACTTAGTAAATGTGAGGGAGAAAAAGAAAAAAAAGGTAGATAGGCAGAGGCAGATGAGATTTGGTGGACCAAGGTAAGCATTAAACTTATCCTAAAGGCAATGGAAAATCATTGAGAAGTTTTAAGCAAAGGAGTGATTTGTAGCTTAATTTTTTTTTGGAGGGGTCTAAAGAACAGAGAATGACTTATACTAGGAGTAGTTTGGAAGCAAGCAGATCAGACGGAGTATGATGGTGGTGACCTGAATAGGGCATTAGCAGTGGAGGTGCAAAGAATCAGATGGATTTTGGATATGCTTTGGAGAGACCTGAAAAGTCTTGACAATGGACTGGAACGTAGAGGAAGAAGGGAAGGATGTATGTGTTGCAATTGCTTTAGTCTATGTCAATATATTCAGTATGAATAATAAGCCATTAGAGCAGTTTAAAGATTCATCTGTAGTAGGCAACACATTAGTCTGAAAGACAGGAAAAAGTTTTATGAAGATGAGACTAGTGCCTATTGTTAATATACCTTACTTGATCAAAGTCAGATGAAGTTATTAAGGTTTAGCATCTTCTGTAAAAACAATTACAAACATAAATATTTCATTAGTTGATTCAGGTGGGCCAAGTAACAGTGTTGATAAGATTATCAACTATTGAAGGACTTGCTTTTGATATAATTAAAAAATGTATAGCTCAGGATATCAAAAAGTTAAGTTGAGAAACATGAGTGGACAGGATTAAGTGTTGTTTGCTTGATAGGACACTTATACCCGTATCAATGAAGAGAGGGCAGGATGCTGTATATCTCGCTGTGTGAAGTGAACCTGTTGCTATAGGCACTTTAGCTTTATATACCTTTCCTATTGTACTCACAAAGCAGCCTTCTGAGCTTGGTTTGATTTCTCAAGTATACTGTCTGGCCAGCAAAAAAAATTTTTTTTAAAGATTTATTTATTTATTTATACAAGCATTGGGTACAGTCAGAAGCGCTGGAGGGTGAGAGAATTCACCAGAGCCAGAACAGGGAACAGAGCAGGCAGAAGGACTGAAGTACACTGCTGAAGGGAGTAGCAGATGGCAGGAGAGGTCTGCATGCCATGTGGGACCCTCCTCCGGTGGCCGGGGAGCAGCCGGGGATCGAACTGGTGCTGCAGAAGCTGCAGGCAGCTTCGCAACCCAGCACTCAACCGCCGCGCCACTGGGGAGGCCCTAGCAAAATATTTTTTTCTTTTTAAATTAACTCAATTACAAGCCAGTCTTCGTAGAATTGAAGCAACATGAGCCAATTTTCCCTGGACTTGATCGCCTGTGATTAAATTATTTTTTAAGATTTACTATCAGTAGAGTTGGGAGACTAAATCTTTATCATCTATCTAACATCCTCATTCCCACAGTGTCAAGGAACAAATACTGAAACAGACATATGAAGGACATTTCTTGTGTTCTGACTTTAATTCATACCCTTTGCCTGTCTGTAGCAACTCTTCCAGTTCTGTGGACAAACTTCAATGTGTCTGGGTCAAAAGCTTGATTCAACTATTAGACAGTAATTTTATTTTAAATAGAGTATGTTTCATGAGAAAATTTGTCCTTTTTTTGCCATCTTTCATAACAATGATAGGAATAGATAGTAGTAATACATAGCTTTTAGAGCAGGATTAAAAAAACAAGAAGAAGCAAACAAGACCTAATGTCATATATCCTGATTCCTTTTCTAATTGTTCTAGTTTTTCTATTGCCATTCTACTGTGAATCACACAGTAACATCTTTTTTTTTTTAATTTTTATATTCCCCATACAATGGCAACCCTCTGATTTTGACCGCAATCCCCGCCCCCTCCCCCCCAAAGTGTATCTCTGGTTCATAGTTGTTTGTTGATTTTGATTTTTTCCTTTCTTATAGTTATTCTTTTTCCTGGTCCCTTATTTAGGTTTTCTAGATTCCTGCTATGAGTGAGACCATCCTGTATTTTTCTTTTTCTTTCTGGCTTATTTCTCTGAGCATGATCCTTTCCAGCACCATCCATGTTGCTGCAAATTGCATGTGTTTATCTTTTTTGAATGCTGAGTAATATTCCATTGTCACACAGTAACATCTTAGTAGCCCTCATGGTTTCTACTTCTTCCCCTATGCATTGTTAAAATAGCCATGGCAATCTTTAAAAAATGCAAATTATACCCATGCTTAAAACCCTTCAATGAATTCTAGTTTACTTAGAATAAAATCCAAACCCTTTATCATTTGGGTGACCCTCTGTACAACTACTACACGCTCCTCCTTGCTTACTCTTTGCCAATCATTTGGCCTCCTCTCTGATACCAGATACTTTTGAGCCTTGTATTGCTGTTCCATTTTCCTGGGATTTCCTACCTCCCTCTGGCCTGCACATAACCAATTCCTTTTGTCTCTGAGGCTCAGCTCAACCATCGCCTCTTCAGAGAGGCCCTCCCTGTTCCTTCCAAACCAAAGCAGTACCTCTTCCATTAAATTTATTCTAAAGTCAGTGTATACTTTTTTTTTTAAAAGATTTATTTATTTATTTATTTATACAAGCACTGGGTGGGTACAGTCAGAAGTGTGGGAGGGTGAGAGAATTCACCAGAGCCAGAGCGGGGAGCAGAACAGGCAGACTGACGAAATACACTGCTGAGAGGAGCAGTGGGCGGCAGGAGAGGTCTGCGCGCCATGTGGTACCCTCCCCGGCAGCCGGGAATTGAACCAGCGCTGCAGAGGCTGCGGGCAGCTTCGCAACCCAGAGCTCAACCGCTGCGCTACCAGGGGAGGCCCCAGTGTATACTTTATCTCAGCATGTTGTTCATTTTGTTCACAGCACTTAATATTACTTGAAATTATCTTATTTACTTTATTGGCTAACTCTCCTGCCAGGCTGAATATTCTAGAAGAACAGGGATTTTTTTGGTCAGGTTCACCCCTAGCATATCATACCACCATGTGACTCCTGTGTCTGATACAAAGTAGATGTTCAGTAATATCTGTTATGTTAATGAATGGTTTCCTGCCTGGTTCCACTGTCATTTACCTATGCCAGGTCAGATTACTTGACTCTGTGACTTAATTTCTCTAGCTCTTAAAATGCTAACAACAGAATTTCCCACCTAACTCATTTTTGGCATGGAGGAGAAATTTAACTGTTCTTTTTATCTGGAAATATTACTCCTGAATTATACAATTATTACCCTTCAATAATCCATTATTCAGCATTAAATAATATAATGAGTAAGATAATTTCAAGTAATATTAAGTGCTGTGAAACAAACAGATATGTTGATAGTATAGTAGGTATATAATGAAAATGTACCTAAGTGAAATAAGTCAAAAAGAGAAAGACAAATACCAGATGGTTTCATTCAAGTGGAATATAAAGAAAGCAAATGAACTAACAAAGCACAACAAAAATAATTCTTAGTTTCTGAGAACAAAATCGTGGTCATTAGAGGAGAAGGAGGTTGGAAGGGAAGGAGGATGGAAAGAATGGGTTGAAGGGGTTAATTTGACAGTGGTGAATGGCACTAGAACTTTGGTTGTGGGTACAGTTCATATTTATGATGGTGTGAAGCTATACTAAATATTATATAGTACTATAAACCAATGGCCAATCAATCAATAGCAAACAAAAATGAAAATATTCCTTATCATTATCAGTTCAGATTCCTTTAAAAACAATTTCTTTTTCTATTTCCTTTGATGTTTCTAGAAAGTGACTGAGATATACCAGTTCAAATTCAAGTATACAAAAGAAGGCGTCTCTATGGATTTTGACAGGTAGTGTCTAATTGTTTAGTAAACATGAGAAATATATAGGGTTGAGGTAAACATAAGCTTTTTGACACAAGAAATATGCCTTATATTTCCTTTGTAACATTCCTGCCAATCCTATACTGTAGCATCAAAACTATTTTAAAAAACTTTAAAAAGAGACCATAATTATTGTTCAGATTACTGAGGTCCACAGATGAGTATGGTGGGAGTAGAGTCTTCTTTTGCTTCTTTAGTTCTTTTCTTTGTAGGTGATATAATAGGGTTTATACGCAGTTAAGTTTAGAGTTAAGAGTTCTAATTCCTAAGACAAAAAGACCTAGCTTGGAGGCTCAGCTCTATTATTGGTTATATAAATTGGCTAGATTACTCAATCTACCTAAACATGAATATTCTTGTCTGTAGAGAGTTAATAATATGGTTGCTCTGATCATTAAGTTATAATGCATATATAAAGCTCTGTCATGCCTAATACATGATAAACAATCAGTAAATGGCACCTAGTGGTAGTGGTGATGGTAGTAATCCTTGGAAGCAATGATGGTTGGTGGGTGGCACAATAGTAGAGAATATATTAACGATACTGTATACGTGGTGTTGATTGAAGAGCTCTGTAAGGCTCTCTCTTGCCACTAACCCCAAATTTTTCAATTGCTTTGTGAAGATATTGATCTTCCTTGCTCTCAGTACATCCAGACTGGGCCTGGAATAGTAAAACCCCTGAACTATTTGCCCATAAACACAAATATTCTCATCTGCTTACCCTAGTATGTCATATAAATACATTTTCTGTGTCTTAAAATTTCAAATCTTAAAATTTCAAGTTTTAAAATTTCAGGTTTTATGTACGTCAGTGGATAAACTACGAAGATAAGGACATTTGTTTCAGAAGGTCCTCAGTGCAGATGGGACGTATTATGAATAGCAACATTTATTCCTTTACAGTAGTTTTTGGATTCAGATAGAGCCAAATGTTGCTGATAAGATGATATAGAAGTAGGAGGGGTGGATGATAGTGGAAACCCTGTGAAGTAGAGGGCTCATTTTTCAGGGTGACAAATGCCCCTGAAAAGAATGACTCTGAAGAGAAATGTGACCTAATTCTCAGTTTTTCATATTATTAACTGTCTCATAATTTAATGCAAGTCTCAGTTTCCTTTCAATATTTATTTCCTTGATTATACTCTCATTTGTATAGACAGCATTTGTATGTGAAGAGAAAGAAAGTTCTAGAAATGAGAATTAAAATGTTAACCATCGTAAGCTAACTTTTGTACAGCACTTATGTACAACACTTTTGCATGGCACAGATTGTAAAGCACTTTTTCATACATATTCTCTCACAGAAAACAGTTGGCTTTTACTCATTTAAATTAAAATATAAGTACTACTGACAACCAAATAAAACTCTCATTATGAAATCTCATTCCAAGAGGTTAGCAGAAAACAGTAATGGCCAAATGTTGCAGATACCAAGGAGAATAATACATACTACTAATTTCTTAGAAACTAAAAGCAGGCTTTCTTTAAATAATGATTCATACAAAATTACCTTATCAACTCCTCTATAGTAAAGCTAATTTCCCTTTTAAAAAGAGTGTAAGGGAGTTCTGAATATATTTTACATGAATATAAGTTTAGGAATATGATGTCCATATCTTGATTTATCAGGTTATATCCTGATAAATCCATTCTAAGTTAAAAATATTGTAGGCCCTCCCTGGTGGCCTAGGGGTTAAGACCCAGTGCTACCACAAAGAGGGCCCACCAGGTTAGCCTGCATTCAATCCCTGGCCAGGGAGCTAACCCACATGGTGCAGCAGAACTCTCCTATTTCACCTGCTGCTCCCCTTAGCAGTTTATTTCTGTGAATCTGCCTGTTCTTTTCCCTACTCTGTCTCTATTGAATCCCCTGGTCTACACCACAGTTCTTCTATGCAAAAATAAATAAAATCCTTAAAAAATTAAAAATATTGCAAGTAAAAAATGCTGCTGCCCAGCATAATAAGGAAATACTGTACCATGGTTTCTACTGAAAGCAAACCACATTTCAAATTGGTTTAATCTTTGTCGACAAAACTAAGTTGTTTAAAATTGAAAACGAATAAATGTATTAATTTAATATTTTGTCTTATGAATTCACACTGCTTCGGTAGTTCAATTACTTAGGACTGTTTTTCACTATTGAGTGTTGACTATGTGAAAAGCATTATCCAAATGAAAATATATTGCACTCATAGTCCTTCCTGGAAACTACTCAAATGTGAGACTATTTGGAGAAGAAATCTTCAGAGGGAAAAATAAAAAAATGCTTGGTTGGAAGGTAATTTAATCCAACTTGTTGACTCATTCATTAATTCAACAATGTTTATTGAGTACTTACTATAACTCGGTACCAAACAGTACCGTGGAAGTGAAAGATATAACCACTCACAGTCCAAAGGGAGACATACAGTTATAAACAGGGGTAAAGTATATATAGATTATCAGGGAAGATTTCTTGGAGAGGTGACAGATGAGTGAGGATTAAAGGACACATTAGGAAGGGAATTGGGAAAAATACACTACAAAGTGAATAGCTTATGGGAATGCACATAGGTGAAAAGAAACTGAGATGTAGTTGCAGATGAAGATGGAGGGGAGGATGTGGCTATTCATGAAAGACTATACTCATCATTCTTGAACTTGATTGAAAGATGGTCAATGTCATAGAAGAATTTTAAGCAAGAAAGTGACAAGTAGGATTGGAATTTTTTTTAGCAGTGGAGAGTGCTTTTTTAGTTGTGGAGAGTGCTTTCAGTGTAGTCTTGAAGAAAAAGTAGTAAGAATAGTAAGTCATTGCTGTAATCCATATAACAATTAGGAGTGATATGCCTCTGAGAGATAATCAGATAATAGAAAAGCCCAGAGCTGATAGGTGATTTAGTAGGTATAGAAATGTGTATAAGCTTATCTCACAAATTAACCTAGAGTGTCTAAGCAACTTGACTGAGATAATTTGCACCAGAGTCGATATTAGATTTCAAGTTTCCTGATTTCAAATCTATTGTTCTCATTATTATAGCATGCAGTTTTTTATAAATTTTTTAAAATCAGGTCATTAAAAAATTCTTAAGGGAACTTGCTACTTAAGAAGCTCTTTATATATGCATTGCTAAAAGTATAATCGCGCCTCTAATTTATATTCTTAACAGTCTGAGGAGTATCCTGATATTTAGTTTATATTTTTTAATCACACAGTAAAATGTTTTGTTTTTTTGGAATAGATTTTCAATATTGTATAGGACTGGAAAATATGCTGTTTTTCTATGTGGTTATAGCCGTAGTACAAGCTTCGAAAGTGGGACAAACAGTGATGATATAAAGAAAGCTAGTGTGCTGCTGATCCGCAAACTGTATATACTGATGCAGAACCTTGGACCCCTTCCTAATGATGTTATACTTACTATGAAACTCCACTACTATAATGCAGGTAGGTGGAGACCTGTAATGTAACTTCTTAAATACTGAAGTGTAGTATTTTATGTAAGTGAAAGATTTTACAAGCATCTTGTAGAGATATTTGTTGCTACACATGAAAGAGCAATGACTTGTTCTATTGAAACTCATGGTTTTCTTGGTTTTCTGCCCTTTTCATTTTGCAGTGACCCCACATGATTACCAACCCCCTGGTTTTAAAGAGGGGGTAAACTCACACTTCCTGTTGTTCGAGGGGGAACCTGTAAATCTGCAAGTGGGACTGGTCTCCACTGGCTTTCATAGCATGAAAGTAAAAGTCACAACTGAGGCCACCAGAGTATCTGATTTGGAGAACAATCTCTTTCAGGAGAACAGCACTACTGAGATTGCCCATCAGGGTCTAGACTGCGATGAAGAAGAGGAAGAATGCAACAATCAGGTAAGGCAAAGCTTTAGTAAGTGGTTTTGATTTGCATTTCCCCGATTATAAATGATGTTGAGCATTTTTTCATATACCTATTAGCCGTTTGCATTTCCTCTTTGGAGAAGTGCCTTTTAGTTCTTTTGCCCATTTTTTGACTGTTTTGTTGTAATCTATTTTTTTTATACTTGAGATATATATATATAGATAGATATCTATCTATATATATATATCTCCATCCCCTTACCCCTTTCCCTACTCTTTCCTTCTTAACTTCAGAGCCCTCATGGTGTTTTTGATGTCCACTGGTTTTTGAAAGTGTTTTTGGTTATCAAATTATCTGCTTTGTAAATATTCAGGATGTATTTTTATCATTCTGACTTGCTTTACTACACATAATTCTCTCAAACTCCCTTCATTTGGTCGAAAAAGGCTGCATTTCATCCTTTCTTATGGTTGCATAGTATTCCATTGTGTGGATATACCATATCTTCTTTTTTTTTAAAGATTTATTTATTCATGCATATATGAACTTGGGTACAGGCCAGAGGTATGGGGAGGTGAGGGAGTTCACCAGAGACAGAGTGGGGAACAGAACAGGCAGATTTACTGAAATACACTGCTGAGGGGAGTAGCGGGCGACACAGGAGAGGTCTGCTGCTCCATGTGGGTAGCTCCCTGGCCGTGGATCGAACTCATGCTGCAGAGGCTGTGATAGCTTCATAGTGCTGTGCTTAACCCCTTGAGCCACCAGGGAGGCCCTATTTATTTTTATTTTTAGTTTCTTACTTTAGAGGTCAGGTCACCAAAAAAATCTTTATTGTTGATATTGTGTTTTCTTCTATATATTTTGTTTTCCTAGCATGATTTATTAAAGAGACTGTCCTTTCCCCATTTTATGGTCTTAGCTGCTTTATCATAGATTAGATATGGTATGTAAGGAGGTTGGTACATAATGTAGATTTATTTCTGTGCTTTTGATTTTATTCCATTGATCCATGTATCTATTTTTGTTCCAATACCATATTGTTTTTAGTACTGTTGCTTTATAGTAAAGTTTGAAGTTTACAATCCTTTTATTAGTTCCACATAATTTTTGGAACCAATCCCATATTGTTTTGCCAATACCATATTGTTTTTAGTACTGTTGTTTTATAGTAAAATGTATTAGTATTCTTTATTGGTATTCTTTGTTCACTTAATTTGAAAAATATTGCTGGTATTTTGCTGATTATGTATCATTTTGAACAGGGTAGTTATTTTGATTATATTGATTCTTTCCATCCATGAATGTGGGATATCATTCCATTTCCTTGTATCATTGAAGTCCTTTAATAACATCTTGTAGTTCTCATGTAGGTCTTTTCCCTCTCCTGTAAGGTTAATTCTGAGGTATTTGATTCTCTTTGAATCAGTATAAATGAAGTTATCTTCTTATTTTGCTTCTTAATTATTGTATGTATATAAAAAGACTACAGATTTTTGTATGTTGACTTTGTAAACTGCAGCTTTGCTATATTCACTTTTTGTTTCTAATTTTTGGTAGTCTTTAGGAATATATATATATATATAAAATTTCATATATATATATCATTTATACATATATTGTCTACAAATAGTGGTAATTTCATTTCTTTTCCAATTTGGATTCCCATTTATCTTCTGTGTTTGTCTGATAACTTAGCCCAAAACCTCTAATACTAAGTTAAACAGAAGTGGTACCAGTGGGGATTCTTCTCTTGTTCTAGATCTTAATGGGAAAACTTTCCGTTTTCACCATTAAGTGAATTGATTATTTACCTGTAATATATGATCTTTATTATATTGAGGTAGGGTTCTTTTTGTTTAGAGTTTTTATCATAAATGAGTTCTGAATCTTAGCAAATGTTTTCTCTCATTCTGTTGCTGTTATAGGACTTTATCTTTATTTTTGTGAATGTGATGTATTACCTTGATTAATTTACATATATTAAACCATACTTGCAACCCTAGGATAAATTCCACTTGGTCATGGTGTAAAATCTTTGTGATAATACCATTGAATTTGATTTGCTAGTATTTTGTTGAAGGGATTTTGGTCTAAATTTTTCTTTTCTTAAGCTGTCTTTGTCTGGTTTTGTAATTAGGGTAATGTTGCCATGATAAAGTATATTTGGTAGCATTCCCTCTTCTTGTGTTTTAAAAGACATTTTGAGCAAGATGGGCATTATTTCTTAAAGCTTTGACAAAATTTACTGTAAAGTCTGCTTTGGGACTTTTGTTTTTTGGAAGAATTTTTATTACGGTTTCAATTTCCATCTTCGTATTTGGATCAGAACATCTGATTCATATCACAGATTGAGATAATTCAGTAATCATTCCTTTAAATAAAATTTCTATGCCTTTTTCTGTGTCTTCTGGGTTCCCCCTGGTATGGATGTTATTTCTCTTTAAGTCATCCCAAAGGGCTTTCATACTATTTTCATTTTTTTAAAGATTTATTTATTTATTTATGCATACAAGAACTGGGGTACAGGACAGAGGTGTGGGGGGTGAGAGGACTCACCAGAGACAGAGTGGGGAACAGAAACATACTACTGAGGGGAGCAGCGGCCGAGACAGGAGAGTTCTGTGGGCTGCTCACTGGCTGGGGGATTGAACTCAAGCTGCAGCGGCTGCGGATATCTTCATAGGTTGCATCTAAACCCCTTGCGCGACCAGGGAGGCCCCACTATTTTCATTTTTAAAAATTCTTTATTTTTTCCTTTATTTATTTATATATATTTTACATCATTTTTCTTTTTTCTTTTTTTGCAATACTTGCTTTCTTTTCTCAGGTGCAGTCCCTATAGAATTTCCATCACCAGTTTGCCCATGCATCATCGCCATAGTCCCTTGTGCTCTTCCCTCCCTCGTTTTGATCCCTCTCCCTCCACTGCAGAATCTGTAGGTTGTTGTATTTGTTTGTTCTCCAACATTGTGTTTTTGAACTTATTAGTTCTCCCCTCTTTGTCTCCTGTTGAGACCCTTAATTTTATTTTTTAGATCCATTATAGTGGTTCTTAGCTTCATTATTTCTATTTATAACTGCTCATTTATCTTTATTCTGCTACTGTTTTATATCCTTTGGTTTATTTTTGCTGTTGTTTTTAGTTCCATAAGTGTTACAGCTATTACTTTGAACTCCTCTTCAGTCATGTTCTGCAGTTCTGTTGGGTTGAGGATTCTCTCGGGGTTATTTATTTTTTTCCTCCAGCATTTGTGGTGTGTTCTTCTCTATCCTATTTTAATTTTTATGGGTTGCAGTAGAGATAGACTGTTGTCTTTGCACCTGTTGAAGTAATTGGAGAACTGGTACTAACAAGGGGTAGTAGGTATAAAAGATGAGGGGGGCACTAGGACCAAAGGATCACCTCTGGTGAACATCAGGAATTCAAACTATCATGTTGTGGGGACTGAGTTGTGTGATGAAAACCCATAGGCCAGCTCCTTAGTTGTAGTGTCCTTATAGTTTGTGTCTCCTTCCACTCTAGGCTAATTTTGAGCACTAGACGAGGTGTTGGGCACAGATTGTAGTTCATATGTGCCGGGAGTGTTCTCTTTTCTTTTCAGCACAGGATCGTATCCTGGGGTGTTTTCTGGTTTAACTAACAGGTGCTTGAACTCTAGCTCATTCGAGTGTTCCTTTGTTGTTTTGGTTTTACCCCTGGGATGAGGGTGCAAGGTATTTTGAATATCCCAGCCTCAGCTTCAAGTAGTAGATGCATCTATGAGGAGCCTCATCATTCAACTTGTTTCTCCCTGCCAAAACAGGCTCCAGCTGTTCTATATTGAGAGCCTTGGGCTCAAGTCAGAAATCCTTACTCTGCATCCCCATCCCTGCAGCTCTCCAACAGTGCACCCTCTGTCCTGGGTGCCAACTCATGCACCCTCTTATCCAGTGCACTCTTGAGACTTAGGCTTACCCAATGTTGCTATGCCCAAGTCAACAACTGTAGGGGACTCTGAACAAAAACTGTCTGTCACTTTTGTGGATTGTACTGTCACAGTATCATATAGAGTTCACTTGAAGTTTTCCCTATCCTTTTCCACTGGACCGTTGCTCCTAGTGTGCACTGTAGTAGTATGTTTTTTCCTCAGTGGAATTTTAACTTTGTTCTCCTGCAGTCTAGTGGTGAATATATGAGAGGAGGTGAGCCCATTATCTTCCCTCTGCCACCATGTAGCTGGACTCCTGCTCTCTTCTGTTTATGTTTACATAACACACATTCTGAAATTGAATGTGGAATCTTATTTAAAGTTCATGCTAAGTTTAAATGCTGACAGAAAAGTACTTCTTTCAAAAAGAGACAGTTAACCCAGATTCCTTAAAAAACTAATTTATTACTGATACATGCAGACAGCTATAGAAAGATGGAGGGCTCATGCTGTTGAGGTCTGCTTTAAGGACCATTGGCCCTTATCTATTATGCCATATGGCTCTTTGGGAACTAATATTTTTGTAAAATTTGTAAGTTGGGGGTCTATATGTTACAATTTTCTGCAATCCTTATGAATCTTTATTTCTCTATGTTAGAAAGAGTTACTATATACTCTATGCAGGTTTTTCTAAACCTTTCTTTTCTATATAAGAATCTTGACCCAGAGTGGTAGTGGTATATTTTCCTCATCTGTTACACATTAATTTAACTGAAGCATAAATAGTCCACACAAATGCTGTTTTCAGAGGATGAACTAAAGGCAGGGAATATTTGTTTCCTTATTAGAGCCACAACTATTTCTAAAGGACCATTTCCAGTTTATCATTTGATCTAGTTACAATGATGATTTATTTGCTTTTTATCAGCATATATCCAAACATAAACACTATATTCCATTTTTCCAAGTGAAATTAAAAAATGGTTTGTATTTTGCATGGATTATTGTCTCATTTCAATTTTTAAAATAATATTTTGTGGTAATTTTTCTTCTTTTGATGAATTCTACAAAAGAATATATATATTATAGGGGCCTCTCCGGTGGCGCAGTGGTTGAGCGCG